CATACACGTATTGATCCGTCAGCTGAGGACCAAACTAATAGTTTACTGTCGGCGCCGACAGACACTCCCAATCCTCCGGTCGTCACATCAATACTCGAGACCTAATGACAGGAGTTTTAGAAGACATCAACTGAAGAGACAAATCAATTACGGCTTTGCTGTGAATCGATGAGAAGACATGATTGGGTGCTATAAAGCCATACAATTGTTTCGTTGATTTGTTGATTAGTTTTAAGTAATACTGAAAACAATTAACAAAATATGACATTATTTTCACTGCAATTAATGAACGGCTGTTGACATACATTGGATGGACACGTGATGTGGAAGTCTTGACTGTCACTGGCTTTGGATTCATTGAATTGAATGGTCTGGTGGACACTGTTTTCATTGATGGTCTTCGATGTCAACCAGACATTAGCCACCGGTCTGTCAAGTGATCCACAAATCATTTAAAGGTATGAAAATTTTGTTAACATCGTGTGACATGAAGTAAATACCTTCTGATGACTTGATCCCAATCGCTTTGAATAGTGATCATTGGATATGATATTGAATTTGATCTCATTTTGCACTCAATTAATAAAACAATTGTCTCTGAATTCAAATCACAACAAGTTTTGTGTGAAATAAACTTCAATACAAAGCATAACAAAAACAACTGTTTTCGTCATATAATGCATAAATTGGCGCTAAATTGAAACCATTAGTGAAATAATACATTAAATATGAAATACAATTTCAATTCATTTATTAATACATAACATAACTAATGATTGATTTAATCGTTTTAATACAAGTGAATCATAAGTTGTTTTCGTAAATCAATTAAACAATGAATGGATAAAAAAGTGAATATAATTTTAACTAATTTGAAAATTATTGAGAAGTGATGTAATCGGTAGTGATTTGATTGGTCTCAACGATATTGTAAATTAGTAATTACAATATCGTATTGATTGCATTCAATTTAATTCAATTTTAAATTGGTTTGAAATTTAAATGCATTTAAACTGAGATTTAGTATCGATTGAAAAATACAAAGAAAATTAATAATAGTTAATATAATGATAGGAAGAATTGACAAATGATGTATCAAAAAGTGTGGTCTATTTGGCGGCGATTCCGTTGGTCTGCTCCGGGAGTGCGACACCAGTAGAGCCGAAGCCCGCGTCGCCTCTTGTGGTCTCTTCGAGTTGTGGACATTCAATGAGTTCTGTGTCTGCAATGCGTTCACAGATGAGTTGTGCGATGCGATCGCCGCGAGTGACCACAAAGTCTTCGTCGCTTAAGTTAAACAAAACGACGCAAACGTTTC